GGTTGAGTGAAAGAGGGAGGGAGGTGTGCATGTGGTGTGTGTTCAGTACACAGAGGTTGAGGTTCCTTCCCAGATGGCAGCTGTTAACTCTACTCACACGCACAGCTGATTAGAAACACATTGAGTCTGGGGCTGCACACACACATGCACACACGCAAATGTCCTCACACACAGGAATAGGGTGTGCACACAGTTGCACACAACACAAACACACAATAACAATATACTCATGCTCACATGCTTACAGATAGAGGCACGCACACATGCAAGTCCAAACACACACAGTCACACTGATGTACACACTCATTTTCTTCACATAAGCACAGGCATGCAGATGAAGGCCCTCATTACAGCACATGCATTTGCAGCCACACACACACACACACACACACACACACACACACACACAAAAGTTCCCATGCATTAGAAGCCACACTGTCAGGCCACTCTCCTCTATGACTGTTACTTCAACACATTCAACTATCCAATAACTGATCCTGACCCATGCTGGTGCTGCTAGAGGAGTCCAGTTGCAGCAGGGCGGCCTCACTCTCTTCCCCGGGAACGGAGTTCTCCGGCTCGGCTGTGCGCACCGGGGATGGCCCCTGGCTCTGCCGCGGCGGCGGGTCCTCCTCAAACACCAACTTGAACTCGAATTCGCCCTCCTCCCAGCCCGAGCCCGGCGCGGCCCCCATAGCCCTCCGGTAGCAAGGACAGGATACAGATAGACTGATAGAATCTTATCTTCCTGCGTTGGATAGAGCGACTTTGACTTTCCTTGATGCGCTTAAAAAAAGAGAGTTTCCCGGAGATATTCCCAAAACTTTCGTCCTTCTCCTATGTGCGTGTCATTGCGCAAATATCCCTCCTCTTGGGATATTTAGGTGTAACTTCAGCAACTTTTCCACGCTGTTTCCACACGATGAGGACTGGTCCTTGCTCGGATATTTGCAACTTTCTCAGCCTTGATGCCTTGCGGTCCAAATAAAACCTTCGCTCAGGAAAAGTCTTTTCTGAAACATATCCCCCAGATACAGTCCATACTTTCATTCTAGCTCCATCGCCATCCCCATAACGTCTTCTTCTCCGTTCAAGACAGAGAGAGGAGGGGGGGGGGGGGGAAGTTTATCAAATATTTTTGTCGTCCTTTACCCTTAATTGCCTTTGGGTGGGTTTCTCAGCTCCAGTTGGTCCGTTACTCATTCCCCATAGGAGCTTGAGCCTGTCAGTCATGAATCCCCCCTGACAAACCTCCAGCCTCTCTTTTCCCCCCCTTTACTCACTCACTCTGGAGGTTTCTCTTTAGTCTAACTTACTTCACATTTACTTAATAGGCTACACCAACAACACACTTTAAATCCTTGCAAAAGTGGCTTTTATTTACAACTTACATCTTATTTACATCATCTACACATCGTTTTCCTGGTGTTTTTCCCACTAGAACTAGGTTTGATCTCCATATCATCCTCAGCATCAATGACTTTTTTCACACATTGAAGTCCAAAGCAATATGATTATTATTCCAATCATGAGCGGGACTCATGGCAAGCGGCTCACTGTCTCCAAAACCTGCCATTGTAGGCCGGCTGCATGGCCACCAGGGCTGTGATGTTAGTGATGTCAGTTAGTGAACATAAGAGGGCCTATTTCCTGTGGCGATGAACACGACAGCCCCCCTTTTTTGGCTGTCACTCTTCCCTCTCCTCCCCTTTCTTCTTCTTTAAAAAAAAACCCCCCACTCCTTCTTCCTCTCTCCTCCCCACCAACTCCTCCTCGTCCCTCCTTCTCTCGAGTCTCTCCTTCCTCTCCACCACAGATCTGTTTCTCATTATCCTCTGTAGTCTGCTCTCTGTCTGAGTCAGGAGACGAAAAACTTAAATAAACACACGCTCTCTGGCTCTCTCCGCTTCAGTCCAGCTCCTTATCCCCCCGACCTCCTCCCTCTGGCTGTCTCTCCCCTCTGTCCTCCTTCCTCGCCCTCCTCTGATTCTCACAATCATTAAGCGTATGCTATACTGGCGTGTAACTAGGGGCTTGTTTCACTCTCCCTGTCATCCTCTTGGGGTTGTGTGGGAAGGCCTTGGATCCTGGACAGATCTAAAGATGTTACAAAAAAACTGCTATACTTGCAGGGCCGACACAAGACTTCTGAGGGCCCGAGGCTCAATTTGATAACCCATACCCCATACAAAGTCCCTATATGGGGAGGGCTGGTGGTGGCTGCGGGCTCCAAAGAGGCTATTCATTTGGCTACTATGACAGCACATAACAGACACATAAAAACAACGTGAAAATGAGACTCTTCGTTCCCGAGTCACCCTGTTTAGGGCTCCTATGGCTGCGGGTACCATGCTTTTGCCAAAGTGAGCCTTTCTGCACCTCAGAGACCTGTACATGCCCAGATGGCAGTGCAGTGAAATGGCAGCTGAGTGGGTGTGTGATGCCCTGTGCTTTTGTGCGTGAGATGGCCTTCCAATTGAGCTCCGTGAGGTTGGGTGTGGCGAGACCTATAACCTTGGCTGCTGTGCTGGTTATGCATGTGAGTTTGACCTGGTTTGTGACAGAGAGCATGTTGAAGAAACAGGTGGAGCAGCAGTTTTTTAATGGCCTGTGTATGCTCGTCAAAGCTGACGAGATACTCAAGCAGTTAAGTACAATTTTGAGGTACTTGTACTTTACTTGAGTATTTACTTACTTTATAATATCACTTGATTGAAGTTGAAGTTTTCTCATCCACACTAACATGTATGGCCGGCGTTTTCAGATTCATCCACTCTTCATTTTGGAAAAATGTTAAGGTGAGAATAACGGCAGCTTAGCTTGTATTGAAGGCCAAAATGTAGAGAAAAATATATAATTTCAATGTCAGGGCACAAAAGAAGGAACTAAAAAATGAAACTAAATGATATACAAGGAATATATACAATTACGCACATACATACTTACCTTCTTGTAAATATATATACGCACACAACATGTGCAATATCAGTGTGTTGTTATTTTCAGATTTGGCTGCCTTTGACTTGAGAGACAGTAACCTGGTTCCCCAAAGCGGCAAAAAGTTTAAATTTTAAAGTTTTCTATATTTGATCGAGCAGCAAGACTTCCAATCAGTACTGTGTTTACAGGTTAATAGAGTTGAACTTCAGTTTGTTCGTACATGCAGGTGCTGTATGAATGAGCATTTTTAGTAGTTAAGACACAGAGCTTCTCTAGAAATAGAAAGTTTTGGGGGGTTGTGAAACTGTTGAAAGGCTAGTAAGTTGTTTAAAGGACTGGTGCAATACACAGGAGGAATTGCTGAGTGTCAAGTTAATAGGAAGAGGAGGAACATAACAACAATTCATGTGGATGTGTTGCCATCATGTGGTGAAATATCAGAACAGCTTTACTGTAACTTTCCTCAACAGTCAGCTCTGCTTTCAGAGCCTGAGACAGATTACCACTGAAAAATGTTACACATCACACAATCACAACTGGATTTCCTGACACACTGATGAGTCAGAGGGAGACGTTACTGAAATAATTTATTGACTGATTGAATCAATCTAATGTGCAAACAATGTACTTGTATATTTTCATATGTTTTCTGTGCAACAATCTTAATTTGTAAAGTAACTAGTAACTAAAGTTGCCAAATAATTGTAGTGGAGTTTAAGTAGAAAGTGGCATAAAAAGAGAGGACTCAAGCGAAGTACAAGTACCTCAAAATTTGAAGCAAATTTGTAAGGACAGTACTTGAGTTACAGTATGTCCCTTCACTGCTGGGTAGACCACGTCCTTTTCTACCATAATCAAGTCTTTACAAGTTCATATCAGAGCAGTAAAAAAAGGATGAGAGAGATAAAGATGGAGAGATGAAATATGAGTTGTTTGTTTGTCTCCGGAAAAGAAGCTTCATTAGCAGCGCCATAAAGTGCTCTGAGTCAAAAGTCTTTGTCCTTTATATCCTAAATATTTGGTTACTTAATGAGCAGACTGACCTGGCCCCTAATACTACCAATTCTGATGTCTTAATTTAGCAAGCTAAGTAGACACAATATAAATATTTATTCCTGGTTGAATTATTACGTTTGAACAACTTAATTTGCTAAAGAATCTTTATAGCTATATAACATGGTTGGACTGTTTACTTTGCCATGTCAACAAGACAAAGCCGACTATATTTTTAGCCACACCAGTGTCATGGGTCCGTGGATGGAGCTGCTAGCTTCAGTTGAGGAGTAGGCCGCCGAGGTAAGCTCACATCTTTCAACTCCACACTCATTTTCAGATTTCACACAGCTCCCTCTGCAGCCACAAAATCCTTTATACAACTTTCTTTCACATAGCAGTGCCCGAGACCTTTAAACAGTGATGTGTAAAATCAGTGGGGAACTCCCCTTTAAGTCTTTATATCATCAATTTAAAGTTTTTTGGTGTATGTTCAGACCATTTCAGCTGCTCGCCGGGTAACAGATAACTATCAGATAATATTGTCTTTCCGTCCAGTCTGTACTGTAAGTGTGATTCTGCCTGAATATGAGCCATGACATCACTGAACAAGGGCATGCCCGTTCAGCAGACTTAGATGATTGTGGTAAAAAAATAAAATACAACACCCTGCTCAGTCACTCAGTCCTTGAGCTTCCTGGAAAACAGCATTCACAAGAAGTCAGAGGCAGAGACTTGCATGAACTAGTGAGTGACTTTTTCTGTGTGTGCATCCTATGTACCTGTTTGCACTTGTGCATGCAGCATCCCTGACACAGCAAACTTGTGCAAGAATGTAAATCACCTATACTCCTCAGTTCCTCAGATTACGCAACAGTTGACTCAGAGAGGGGAAAGTATGCATTTTGATACCTGGCACTGGGACATGTTTCCAGGAACATAAATATGGCTTCATGCATACAGTGTTATAGCACATATACTTGAGATACATTCCACAGGATAGTCATATGCAGAGAGGAAAATACAATACTTGAAACAAGGGAGGGAGAGGGAGCGTTTTAGGGAAGGCCACACCTCTTACCAGAGCATGTTTCAGCCTGTGGGGCAGAATCTGATTCAGTTCATTATGGACTGACTTAAGAGAGACCATCCACGCAAGGGAGACATTTCAAGAGCCGGACAGCGTGGAGAGCAGCAGCGGGCTAACTGAATCCATCGCAGGGAGGCATCAAGTCCCGGAAAGGTCAGTTTTAATCATCACCTGGTAAACTCTGAGCGCTATGATTTTGGACTTGATTTAATTTTCCTTCATTTTCTTTCTCAGATTTTACAACATCTGTGTTTCTTTCCAATTCTTTCTTCCGTCTTAAAACAATAATTTACTTTTCTTGACTTGATTATTTACACGTGGCAGATTTATTACAAACCTATGATATCATTAGTTTAAAACTTTGGACTGCAAACTAATCCATCTCTGTTGCTTTATTGGCAAAGAGAGTTTCTGGCAGCAACAAGTCGTTTGGAGTATTCTAGTGATTTTTTTTTTCAAACATTTCTCAGGTTTTGGATTGTTTGCTTTTTACCCAAATAATCCAAAAGGTCAAAATCATATCTTTGCTGTACTTTTTTCTATTACTTTTAAAGTCCTTTCCTTTGTCATTTAAACATAAATCACACCAGATGTTTCCTCCTTAGTGCACTTTGTCCATTGTTGTTGTCCGTTGCAACATTAGGTCTTCATTAGCAGAGTTTGGGGGGTTTGACCTGAACTGACAGATAGCACAGTCGTCTGCGGGTTAGAACAGTCATTTCTGTGAAACAATGCTTCCACCTGACGGCATCAATGTGTTTCTTAAACTTGACTTCTGTCGATTTTTTTTTTTACTGGTGATGGAAGTTTGGCTCACTCACTCTCGTATGCTATCAGGGGAAAATAAACTAAAGTTTGCTTGTGTGGGACCCAGGCAAGGAAATAAAGATTTAATCAGGAAAAATGTCTTGTTCTCACAAAGGGAAATGTGGTTTTGCGGAGATCATATATGTAGTTTCCCAACTCGTCTCTACATCACTCATGTTTAATTTTTCTTTTCAGCAAGTCAGGGTTTCAACTTCTTCAACCTTCTGTGACTTCTGCACTGTATGTTATTGGTTTCCATGACGGGACACTGAGAAAAAGTCCAAAGAAGAGAGGCAATTATGGCAAACTTGAAAAAAGAATGAAAGGGAATCAAAAACTATGCTGAAATACTTCTTTGACGCAGTCCTGCCGATGTTTGACGTGTTTTAACATGCTGCCTCAGAGTTGGCTACAGGGTCTGATGGGAATATTTTAGAGGCTGCGTGACAGCTAGTTCTGGAAACAGCGTGTGGACCGTTCCATTTGGTGAATGATATTCTGTAATGTTGATCTTCAGTTACTGGTGCACCCTTTTGTCCGGACCACCGCCAACTTTGTCTTAGACAAGTAGTGTGCTCAGATAGTGCTCTGTAACCTGAAGAGAGAAAGAACCAAACGGCATCATCTTTTTTCTGCTTTTAATACGTCTTGTCATCATTCACAGTTAGAAACATTTGCTTGTACCTGCCTGTTCCTGTTAACTTTAAATATGAGTGATGTAATGGCCGCCCACATCACACAGACGTGCAGAAACACCAGAGATATGTGAAGACGATCAGAAATTGAAAAAAGGTGTGCATCCATTACCACAGACAAAAAAAATGTATAATCAGTGATGGTGAGAGAAAGTAAGTAAAACTGTATTTATATAGCACCTTCCAAAAACTAGGCTACAACATCAAGGCCTTATAGATGAGGACCAGGATCTTGAAATCTAAATATAATCGTAAGCCAGTGAGACATCAGAACCAGGTTGATGTGAGAGCGATATATATGTCTTGGCTTAGGCTAGACATATAAATTGGAGGTGATAAACTGCCAACCAGCAAAGACTTCTATCTATATCTCTGCCCCAATAACACTTATTAATCAGCAGTGATAAACAGATTGTTGGAGGAGCGATGTAAATCTTCAAATACTTTAGAAAAGTACAAAAGCTCATTCTGTCAACTTAATAACGAAGTCTCATAAAATTAGAAAAAGTAACTCATCCTCATGAGTTAGTATATCATAGAGATACAGATACTCAAGAAGTAATGAGAAAGGTGCCCACAAGTTTAAAGTACAATAAACACTAAATTCAATCATTCATTCAAACAAATTAATTTTGTCACTGGTCCTCAGGAACAAAACTCCTTCCAGCATGAACAACTTGGATCTTACCCCCACGCCTACCGCTGCCGATGAAACAGATGGTAACGAGAACCCTGTGAGCAATGACGTCTCCACGGCCTTGGGTGCTCTCATCCTCGGCTTGGTCTTCCTCCTGGGAGTCCCTGGCAACCTCTTCATCGTCTGGAGCATCCTGGCGCGCATCCGGCAACGCTCCGTCACCACCATCCTCATCCTCAACCTGGCGTGCGCCGATGGCTTCATCATGGCCCTCACCATCTTCATCGTTATCTACCTGGCCATGCAGTCATGGGTCTTTGGTCAAGTCATGTGCAAAGGCGTGTTCTACCTATGCAACTCCAACATGTACGCCTCCATCTTTCTGATCACACTGATGAGCGTGCACAGGCTGGTGGCCGTGGTGTTCCCGAGTAGACTGTCCTCCCTGGTCAGCAGGAAGATTGTGAGGACGGTGATCGTATGCATGTGGCTGCTGGTGATGGTGTTTTCTGTTCCCTCACTGGTGTTTCGAGACGTGATAAAGAACAAAGACAAGCACAATATAACAAGATTAGTGTGTGTGCCCCATCACAGCCGGTCTCGATATGTAAGTACACGTTTAACATTAAAAATGGTGTAAGATATCTTCTTTATTGTCTAACTTGGAAGAAGTCTCATATTGTCTTTGGATCAGAGGTGTAAACACAAATTAACACAAATACATAGAAGTGAAAATGTATCACTATAAAAAACAATTCTAATTGGTGTTTTCCACAAACAAAAAGAACTGTCAGAATAATTTAAACCTTAATCATAAAACAATCATACCCATGTTGGCTGTTTCGTCATTTTCTTTACTCTCATAAGGTTTATCTTTGTTTTATGCATGAAGCGGTGGTTTGACAGATACGTTATGACAGCGAGCACATCTGATTTCTATCCTCCCGTGTGCAGGTAAAGTTTCAGTATGCCTTTGAGACAGTGGTGGGATTCATTCTTCCTTATACAGTCATCATAATCAGCTACGTCCTCATCCTGAAACGCCTGAGGCAGACCAAGTTCCATCGAAAGATGCGCAGCGAGAAACTCATCCTGGCTATCGTGGTGACGTTTGGCCTTTTCTGGCTGCCATACCATGTTGTCAACATGATACAGGTGTGTAAGCGCATCATTTATCCCATTAAATCATTGCTTCTTTCAGATCAATGATCTGATATTTTGAATTAACACTGAGTATGTTTTGGTTGGTCCAAGGTGGCAGCTGTGTCTTACCCACACAATTCAACCACACGAACAAAGTGAGTAACCAAAGATTTTCCCCATTTTCCCCTCACAAACTAATGTTAACTTATTTTTATTGACATGTGGTACTTTTGGGTGGTTGTTTTATGCACTACAGAAACATTAATAAGTTAATAATTCATTTCTACACAAAGTGATGGAACAAGCTCTGATGTTCCACAGAAAACCTGACATTTAGATTTTGCATGTCATAGTGGGTGAAACACTGAACCCCAAGTTTCATGCATCGTGAAGAATGTAGTTCATTTCTGTTTTCTTGTTGGCAGTAGCTTTGCTCATCAGTGTGTACATATAATATGATGTAGTGTGAAGCTTTGAGTGGTCAGAAAGGTGATATACAAGTACAGACCATTTACCATTTTGTTTCACTTTGTAGTTTTTTGTCATCTTATGGCTGTTTTGTGTCTCTTTGTAGTTGTATTGCGTGTCTCTGTGGTCACTATGTGTCTCTTTCACATTTAGCAAGTGAAGCCCCCTGGCCCCATGGTCAGTAATCCATCTGTGAATATACCTATAGTATTACATATCAGTTAGTTTGAGAGCAAGATCTTAGTTTAGCTCCCAAGAATGCTACAGATCTTCAATTTAATTGTTAACAAACCTTAAATATAACATATGTTTCAGTTGTTGTGGTCTTGGTGGGGTAAGCCTTTCTAATCTAATACATGTCTTTTTGTCAAATTCAGCAAATATGTCTTCACGGTCTGCTAGCTATTCGTTCTATGTGCGTGCTGAAACAAAATGTTTGGGTGTTTGTACACAGCCCTGGCTCTGTAAATGGGAAACAAACAAAGTGACTCGGACTATGTCACACAACACTATTCCAGTCATGATTTGTGTGTCAGGTAACGTTAAATGACTTTACCACAGACATTCAGCTTACGTTCTAGTTGTCCGAGGCATACTGTTGTTGTGATGTTAGCTCTAGTAGCAGGGGAGTTGTGTGGATCGCTGTCTGGAGCTGGTGTGCTGGACCACGGGGAAACTGGCTCATCTTCTCTGTATGTTAGCTTCACAGCTGGAACTGTAGTGCCAGCTTGCTAACCCAGTTTGCTAATTTTAGTTACATAACTTTTTGTGTAATTGTTTGCTTTATGGTATTTAAATGTTTAAATACCTTTAAATGTTCTGTTTGTCTGCAGTTTGGACCATATCTCTCAGTCCAGTCGTGCAGTGACCTCGGCTTTGGCCTTCATCAGCAGCTGTGCTAATCCTATCCTCTACACCTTTGCTGGGAAGTCCTACATCAAGCAGAGTGGCCTTGCCTTCATGGCTCGGCTCTTTGAGGACCAAACAGAAAACAAAAAGAGTCGGATCATGGGTAAAGACAAAGTGGTAACCAGCAATGTTGACTCTGCAAACAGCACAGGAACTCCTACTATACAAAAAGGGAGCAGAGCTTAAAATGAACTTTGTGCTAGTGCTCTGAAAGGGAAAATACTTTAAACTACATGTGGAGTCTGTTGATTTTGCATAAAGCAACATTTGAGCCTAAATTTTCTCTGTGCAGCTTTGAGTTGACTGTCAAGTTTTGTGTTTTGGAGGAAAAGTGGTCCAGACAGGCTTCCTATAGAGATTTCTAATCAATTTAAAAACAACCAATCTTGGATATGCTATAGGAGTCCTCCAAAAGAAAGACTAGCCACCATCTCTCAGAGGGACACTAATCACTCCCACAGACCTATGTCGCTGCTTAAAACAGATAGCAAAATCTTAGGCAAGACTTTTTTGAGAAGCCTTGAAGGGTTACTGCCGTTCATGATGAAAGATGACCCAAACGGCTTTATACATGGGAGGCAGGCTTTTCATAAGTGAAGGCTTTCGGCTGAATTGAGTGGAAGCACCTGTATAAAGTGTATAAAGACTTCCTCAAGCGAATTAGCACCATACATCGCCCTTCTCATTGTACAGATCTACATGCCAAGGTTGCCCTCTCTCTCCATTGCGATTTGTAGTAGCAGTGGAGCCATTTGCTATGGCTATTAGAGACTCTCCATCTATATCAGGGATCTCAGTGGGTCACTCAGAATATCAAAGATCTCTTTACGCAGATGATGTTTAAAATAAACCTTGAGTATTCAGTGCCATCTCTGTTAGACTTGATTAAGAGTTTTGGGGAGTTGTCAGGCGAAAAAACAAATTGGAAGAAATCCTAAATACTATAGCTAAATGAACACGAGAGGCAGCAACCTAGAATACAGACTCCATGGAAGAGACAGATGCTGGTTTAAAGTCAGTAATGTCATTTACTGAACTACCAGAAACATCTGATATTCCTTCGATGTTATTTACATTTTTACAAATAAGACATTTTATCTCTGTATATCAAAACCACTAACTTCCTCACCCTTCTCAGTGCTGGATTACAGTGAAACACGTTGGTCTAATGTTCTTCTAATGCTCTAATGTTTGTAGACAAGTCGTCTGAGTCATCAGAAGATAAACTTAAAAGCTGGAGGCTATAGTTACAGGAGGAAATAATAGACTTGTATTTAAGAAAGCAATAGCTATATAATGGAAAAATGTGAACAAAGTCTGAATCAATATATTAAGGATCTATCAACATGTGTTGCTATGGAAAAACGAGCATGCATTACTAAAGGAAAGTTGGGAGTTTTTAAAAATAAATTGTTGGTACTGATCAATCAAGCCAATGACTGGGGCGGGGCAACTGGAATAAGATTATCAAGTGTAATAGCCCCTATTTTAATTTTATTTATGTACATTGTAATTACTGCAACATCTGTATATTCACCTGTTTTTACTATTTTTATTTACCTATTCATTTGATGGTATTCTGTATTTGCTGCCACTATCAACCATTTTGTTGTAATGTAATGTGTATATATATATTTTTAAACAAAAGTATTGTGTTGAAAGAAAGACCAGTTTGACTGGAAGTCTGCGGTGCAGGCACAAGAAATACAGCAACCAATCTAGGATATGCTATTGGAGTCAACAATACAAAAGATCAACCAGCCACCATCTCTCAGAGGAGCACTTGTCAATCCAATGTCGCTGCTTAAAACAAATAGCAAACTTTAGGCAAGACCGTCCATGATCAAAGACGACCGAAACAGCTCCATCCAGGAGAGGCAGGCTTTTCATAAGAGAAGGCTTTCGACTGAGTTGAGTGGAAGCATCTGTTTGAAATGTTGGATAGGTTTTTAAAAAAGATTTGTTACAAGAAACACAAGTTTGACTGGAAGTCAGTGATGCAGGTACAAGTAAATTATAACTGACCTGTGTATCAACTGTAATTATTTACACACTTCTATTTAGCATTTGCAAGAAATACAGACATTTAACATTGTTTAGAACACCAGTGTACTTTTACAGATGACAAGTATTCAAAGTTATCAATGTACAGTATTTGTACACACCCTGCACTCCGTTTTGTACTAGATTGTTTATAATGAAAACCTACATTAAATCTTGAGGCACTCTGTCCAATTATTTTAGTGTCATTAGATCTGTCATGCAAGGTTAAATTGGTTTCCTCCTTCGCGGAGATTTTTCATGAACGCAATAACAAATGTTAACATTTTAATTTGTGGCACATCTCAGCTTTACTAGTCATTTTAAAGAGTTATGTGCTTATGTATTGTTTTCAAAGCATCGTACTGCAAGTTCTGTTGTACCCCTTTGTCATTCAACATGACATTTTTCCATAAAGCTGAAATTAAGGTCAGATATTTAAACTGCACACAGAAAACCCTTGGCTTTAACAACCACATATTTGAAACAGCTTTAAGATCTTTGAAGATGGCACCAAATAACCAGCTTCACACAAAACATGATGTTCTGTGCTTAAAGACTTGGCAATGTTTTCATTGAAGATATGACTATTTTTCAAAACTCAGTCTTACTGCCTTTTAACGGCCTTACTAGTAACTTTTATCGAACTATGATGAACGCAATGCATATTCTGTACACCAGCGTCTACATCATCTGTATGTAGATGTAATGCATGTCAGGGTATATACAGGAGGCAAAATTAAACCTTTTTAAGACATTTTCAAGACCTTTTCAACATATTTTAAGACTGCAGCGCTACTTTGAGCTGTAAACGATTAAATCAGCCACACACCTTTAAAAGTGACATTTTTGAGTTTTTTATTTATTTTTATTTATTGCCTATATGTCATCAGGTTCTAACACCACCTAAAAATTGAGGCATTCACCAACTTTCTCAGTTGCCTATAACAGCCTGTTTGGGCAAACTGTTTTCTATGTGAAGGACTGGTCAGATTTCCTGTCAAAAGCAACTGTCTTACATAGGCAACGATGTTTATGTACACAATATTAGAGCAAATCATGTGTAACAGTGTAATTTTGTGTTTGTTTGTTTAAACTAGATAATGTGAGCTTGCCTGCAATGATATGTGATAACTTTCATTGACCACGTGATGAATAAAACAAAATTCAAATAGGCCAGGAGTGAATAAATAAGTAGTGTAGGCGGTGTAGCAAAGGCACAACCTGGAGGAGGAAATAGTCTAAATCAGAATCAGCTTTATTGCTAGGTATGTGTACACATGAGGAATTTGACTCATGACTGTATTAATATTAGTACATTAAATTAAAATTATATTAATTTCATAGTGAACTATAAGTTTAATATATTAATTATGTTACTATATTCAATATTATTCATAATATAATTCAATATAACTTACAAGTATAATATTAATTCAAATTACAGCTGTTTGTTTGGGGTTGTTTTGATTAAATATGTGCAAGAAAAATGCCCTAGGCTACATGATAATCGCCAACCTTGATTTAGGGCAGGCTTCTAACTCGTCAATATCATACACATTTATGCAGAACACAGAGTTCAACATTTATAAACTTTGTTGCAGCACAAAGTTTCATTAAATCCCGCTGCATGCAGGCCATGATTTATCTGTTCACAAGTGAACTTGACGAGTGTATCGGCTTTATGAAAAGTTGAATGCGTTCTAATAGAAGGCACCAATTTAGCTAAATTGGCCAGCTAACGTTAGCCAAACCCAGACGCTCCTTGAACTTTCTGTTGTCCTGTTTTACCGATTCAGCTGCTGGTGGCGCATCTCGCCCTCAGGAGCTGTGGCTGTTCAAGCGGCCATAGAGCGACCGGCCAACCGTGTTAGTCCCGTTACTCCTGATCGCCGCTCTCACTATACGTTTTGGACGATTAGCCTTGTGGGTCAGGCGGGGTGGGAGATTACGGTTGGTTGTACTCGTAATCATTTCCCGGTCCGTACGGATCTATTTTTGGAGCGTTTAAGCGTGAGATAGTCACAGGATAAATCCCTGCGCCTCACGTTACAGACGGATGACAGTCTGACTCACTGCCTGTGTAGCATTTCTGGCTATGCATGATAAATACGTTCACCTACACTTTTAGGTGAACATTTGGACAAACAGGATTTTCACATTGAAAAAATGTTAAGAGTTTAATACCTTGTTAAATGGCGATTAAGACTTTAATGGCCTTATTTTGCAAATTGATTTATTTCTATTATATTTATACCCCAGCAGACACCCTGGCATGTACAACATACAACAGCATGTACAAATACACAGTCCAACACTTGATAACACTTTATTTACCAGTGAAACAGTTCACACAGTGTCAAGACTAGTTTAAGTAGGGATTTGGATCCTATTCATGTGCATAGATAAGACATTCCCAGAAGCAAGTCATACTTATGGGTTTTAAACTTGCCCTACAACATTCAGCTTTGTCCTTTTAGGCTTCAACAAAGAACAAAAACAAACAAACTGGGGTGATCCAGCAGTGGACTCTTTTCCAGTTACCTGCAAACACAAAAAAAGGTGTATTAATACCAAACTGTTGAAACCGTTTTGAGAGTTTAGCTTCATGCATCAACTTACAGACTATACGGACCTCATCAAGATAAATCCAGTCCAGGCACTGAACATCCTAAAAGGAATATATGACAAGTTAGTCTCAACTTGCAATACAATTAAAAGTCCTCACTATTATCCGTATCGTCAAACCCATCAGTGCAGTGAAAGAATAATCATGAGGTTCAGCTGAAACACGGACTCACATGCAAATCATCATCAAGGTTTGACTGTATAATCCAGGACAAAAAGGGGATTTATTATAAACCGCTTTGGCATCTCCATGTGGCATTTTGCCTCCATCAGAAGAATACAAGTTTGTGTAAATGAGGCCCAACATTTTAACAAACTCAGTTACCAGTTTCTAGTTACTGAGCTAAATGTAAGCAGCCCAACACTGCTGCAATAAATCCTGCATCCATGTGGGTTATGTTTGTAACCATCAACTATGTTCATTTTTACAGGAAGTGAATTGTGCCATTTGAAGTGTAACGTGCAATTTGATCATCCTAAAACTTCATTTTGAGGCCTGTCAGTTGCACACAGTAAAATATAATGCAATCAGCGCGATAAAATAAAATTCAGATTATGCTACTAATTAATTCAAAATTAATTTAAATCCTTAAAACATACGTTTACTCGGATGCAGGCTTTGTTTAATAAGACAGCAGCTCGGCTCATTAGCACAGACCATGAGGTTGGTTTGGCGCTAACAAGCAGCGAGCTAACAATTATCCTCTGCGGAAATAACCACAACAAACAGCTACACGCACATAAATAAATAAATCAACTGCGACATAAACAATGTACTCTCATGCAAAACCTGAACATATACCGTAAATGGAGCTTCATGCACATGGGTCTTCGTCTCTCCACCTAAACATGACCGACCAGCACCACCGCAACAAGGAAGAGAGGCTGTTAATGAAGCTGAGGCTCAATTTATGTCTTTATCAAAACCACGTGTTCGCTGTGCCCCGTCAAGCAGCTTCCGGGTCTGGCGTGGAAGAGCCAAAATTATAAAACACAAGGTTTAAAAAATAACTTTAATTATAAGGAGCATTTTCACTTTTATGCATGTGTAGTGCATATTATTGAAAATGTTATTTTAACTATAAAACTAAAGGTAAAGCTAAAGGTGTATACAAATATTATTCTAAACTAATAATATAGATGTAACAAAATACAATAATATAATATAAAATATAAACCGATATTTAACAATAATATTTATTAAACAAAACATAAAATATATTATGATTGTTAACAACTTCTCATTAATACAGTAAAGTTACTAGACCCTCATGTATAATGTTGCATCCTTTATTCCTCCGTTTATTGTGTGCCTTGTTTGGTCTCTGATTATATTGGCAGCTACATTTGATGTAACACCTTCATCTTGTTGCTGTTTTTTCCCCGCATTAAAACCAATAAACAGATTGGACAACAATCAATGTGAAGAATTTACGCTAGAACTAAAAATATTTGTCACTTTCAAATTTAGCCAAAATGTCTTTACCCCCAATTAAATCCTAAATACATGGTTTTATTGAACATAAATTCCTGCATATCTGTCCAAAACCTAGTTAATAAGGGACATAAAATAAATGCACCCCTCTTTATTACATCTACAATTACTCATTTAGCTGACGCTTTCATCCAAAGCGGCTTATGTTAGAACGCCTTTATTATCGATAAAATATAGAACACTTTACATTTTGTAGTTCTACTGGACTTATCACATAACGTAAAACTTCACTTAGATGCCTGTCCCTTTTGCGGCACATTTTCACAAATAAACACTGCTCAATTAGAAGCCTGGTCTGGTTTACATTGACGTTCTTTGGATGTATAAAACCTCTGAAAGCCCACTGGGGCACCTGCTTGACCCAAGCTGCCAAGATCTTGCATACCACTATAAATGTTTCAACTTTTGTCAATATGGACATGCTATATATCGTTAGAATTTTAGAAATTCTGCCGTTCATTTTACAAAAACAATGAGCACCAAAAGTATTATTTATTCAAATTTACCGGTATGGTCGATCGGTCCCTCTCTGTGCTTGAGGTTGGTCTTGATGGGCTGTCTCTTGGTGCTAGATCAAGTTTTTATACAAGTGATATTCATACTGGTTGAAAGAAACAATTTGATTTTAGCCTACTTCCCATATAGACACCTGTCCCAAAAATAGGCAGTGTGAGTTCAGAGATCGAAGCAAAATAAAAGCCTGGGGTATTAATTGAAGTTTAACGGTTTACTCTATATGGTTTGGAAAGCCAGTTAATGGTTCCAGCACTCCTGAACCTAGGAGGATCCAAGCAAATAGAGAGTAATCGATAATCTCATAGTTTGCACTCACTAGATGATACAGTCCCCTCCAAAAGTATTGGAACGATAAGGCAAATTCCTTTGTTTTTGTTGTTCACTGAAGATGTTTGGGTTTAAGATCAAAAGATGAGTATGAGACAAGAGTTCAGAATTTCAGCTTTTATTTCCTGGTATTCATGTGTTAAACAACTTAGGACATATCACTGTTTGTATTAGCAGCATTCTTAGGTGAGCAAAAGTAATGGAACTTTCTTGTTTACAGCCATGCACGCCCGAGCCATGACATCACCTCCTCCATGCTTCACAGATGAGCTTGGATGCTTCGGATCATAAGCAGTTCCTTTCTTTCTCCACACTTTAGTAGAGATTAATCTTGGTCTCATCAGTCCATAAGATTGTGTTCCTGAACTTTTGCAGCTCATCTCTGTACTTCTTTGCAAATTTCCATCTGTTCTTCCGATCCTTGTGGTTTGCATCTTGTGGTGTGGCCTCTAGATTTCTGCTCCGAGTCTTCTTCCAACAGTGGATTGTGATACCTTCACCCTGCACTGTGGAGGTCGTTGCTGATGTCACTTACTGATGTTTTGGGGGTTTCCTTCACAGTTCTCACCATATTTCTGTCATCATCAACTGTTTTCCTTGGCCGACCTGTTCAACGTCTGTTGCTCAGTACACCAGTAGTTTCTTTCTTTTTCAGGACGTTACAAATTGTTGTGCTTGCTATGCCCAATGTTTGTCCAATGGCTCTGGTCGATTTTCCTTCAGCTGTCAGTTTGACAGTGGCTGGCTTTTCTCCCATAGACAGCGCTCTGGTCTTCATGTTGGTTTATCCTCTTTAACAGGAAATGCAGTCTTTATAGGTTTGAACCAGTCATGCAGAGCTATTTAATGTTTGGACAATCAACCTAAAAGGCAACACCTGGGCAACAAGAAACATCTGACAGTCACATGTTCCAATAGTTTTGCTCCCTTGAAAAATGGGTGGGTTCAAACAAAGGGTGATATGTCCTGAGTTGTTTAACACATCTAGATGTGAATACCACGAAATGAGAACTGAAATTCTGAATTCTTGTGTCATACTCACCTTTTCATATAAAACCCAAATATCTTCAGTGAAAAATGAAAAACAAAGTAATTTGCCTTACAGTTCCAATACTTTTGGAGGGGACTGTATATATATCTATATATATATAGATATATATATGTGTGTGTGTAAATTACCTTACATTTGTTATTAGACTTTACCCCAGATGAAAAATTATTTGAAATGATTCACCACATTAACACATTTGTTTTAATAAGTAGATATTATTAGATAACTGAACAGATAATCAGCTGTGTTTAAATAAACCCGAGACTGAATGCCACCTGTTCTTATAAAACCCATAAAACAAACACGGTTTTAAACTACAAAATGACGCATCAGCTGGCTACGGAATCGCTATTGGTCCAAAACAAGCTACAAACAATTCACTGACACAACTCAATACAGTCATAAAGAAACAGTGAAACCTGCAGCGACGCTCAGCTATTTCATCAAAGTAAACGGCAAGTTAATGACCATGAGAGTCTTAATAGGTATGTACGTTTTCCAAGATTTATATATTTGTAAAAAGTCGCTCGGAAAGGTTATTGTGACACAACGTTACCAGCTAGCTGTTAGCTAAAGTTAGCATGGCAAGCATATATATAACGTTATGTACCAATAGGTTACATGTGCATTCTGTTCGTCCAGAATATTACTGTACGAAAAGCGTGCCAGCTGTGTGATTAAACCTAGAAAACTGTCACTGTGTTTTTTTTTTATTTATTCTTATCCAAAGGTAAGTTTGCTAAATTGATGCACAAAATCCTGTTTTGTAAGCAGGTATAGTACGCATGCGCACCGCTCAATGTATTCTGTCCTGTAGTGTGACAACCATGAAGTCTGTGCTGCTGAGTGATTGCATCCAATACAATCACAATCAATATTATATATTACTAAAATTAGGCCAAACATAACCTAAATTGTCTTTTTTCTTATCCACATTTATTGTAATTTGTAACTCATGGATTCTGTGTGGTTCTTCTGTTTTGTGTTTCAATTTCTATACATTTCCGTCCTTGTAGGAGGGGGATCTGGCTTTGTGGGCCGTGAGCTGACTCGCCAGCTCAGAAACAAAGGTCATGAAGTCACAGTGATATCTCGGCAGGCTGGGCCAGGGAAGATAACATGGGTATGATATCAAATTGATTCAGAGTTGTAGGGACCAAGGTCATTTCTCATCTAGGGGATCTCCTGATTCATCACAGCGAGTTTTACATTCTAAAGTCAGTCAAATCATATGAATTCCCCCTTTTTGCTGTAATCTGATCACTGTACTTCCTGAGTCATTTATAAACTCCTTCTACAGGGTGAGTTGGAGTCTAATGGTCTCCCTCCATGTGAGGGCGCTGTCAACTTGGCTGGAGAGAATCTGATGAACCCACTAAGATGGTGAGCAATAAACAGAACCTGGGTGACAACTAAGTACAGGCGAACAGTCTTTTGTGGAGTAATAAATACACTAAATAGTGAAAAGGTTTGTGGACATTCCTGTTCAAAACTATGGTCTGGGGCTGAGGTTTTTCATGGCTAGTCCTTTCTTATTTTAAGATGGTAGTGCACAAAGCCAGGTCCATAAATAAATAGTTTTCCTGGTGTAGTGTGGAAGAACATAAGTGGTCTGCAGAAGATAGACCTCAAACCCATCCAACACCTTTGTGACGAACTGGAACACTTACTGTGAGCCAGACTGGAGGCTGTGGTAGCAGCAGAATAAAGTCTAGTTTGGAATGAGAGGGTCCACAGTGACACATGGTTGTGATGTTCAGATGTCCACATACTTTTCTCCTTGTAGTGTATTTGGCCATTTGATCAATTAAAAATGAATGTTATTGATTTTAATTATGCAATTTCTGTTCAGAATCAGTATTGCTGTGTGTGCTTTGTCAGCTTTTTAAATGTAGCTGGGTCTCCACCTTTATTTGTGTTCTCAGGTGGAACGAAAGCTATAAAAACGATTTGTTCTCCAGTCGTATCGACACTACAAAAGCTTTGTCTCAAGCCATTGCTGCTTCCAAAAGTCCTCCTCACTCCTGGGTCCTGGTATCCGGTTTAGGTAAGTCTCTTGCCTAATAATAAAACTGGACATCCTCATTTGCTTCTAGTAGCAAGTCAGACCTGACAAACTTACAGATAATATAGCCATCTGTTGTTGTGGTTTTCTTACTTTGCTTTTTGTCCCGCAGCTTGTTACAAGCCCAGTCTGACAGCACAGTATACAGAAGACAGTGAATGGACCCCATTTGACCTCTTCTCCAAACTTGTGAAAGAGTGGGAGGCCTCCGCACTTCTTCCTGAGAATGTGGCAAAAACCACCAAACAAGTTGTCATCAGGGCTGGTATGTTTAAAAAAATAAATAAAAGTGCATATTTCACTTTGTTACGTTAGAAAATCCTGCCAGTTTAACGCCCAGTGACCATCAACTGCAGTGTCAGTATTTCGCACACAGAACACTCGTGTTTATCATATTTTGCATTAAATTTTAACGTCTCGCTACTTATGTTCTTCTTCAACATCAGAAATGTATTTTAGTATACATGTACCTGCAGGGTGATGGGTGGTTTGTGAGTGTGTAACTCTTCTTAGTTGCAGTTCCTAAATCCTAAGTACTCATATCTCTTACTTAAGTAGCCATACAACAATGTAGAAATACTGTATAACACGTAAAAGTCCTGCATTCAATATTTTACTAGGGTAAAAAAATGTAAAATTGCTCATTATGCAGAATGGCCCATTTCAGAATTATGTATATAAATATAATTGAATTATAATTGGTAATGCATGAATTTCTACATCACATCATATCTTTATCCATTATAATAGACTATAGTTTATTTGTTTGATTTATTAATAATAATCTGAATCTGCAAAGTAACTTAAGTTATTAAATAAATTTTAGTGGTACAATAAGTACAATATTTCCCTCTTAATTGTTGTGGAGTAGAAGTATAAAGTAGCAAAAAATGGAAATACTCAAAGTACAGTACTTAAGTGTACTTAGTTACTTTCCACCGCTGCACAAATTGTGCTTAGTGCTACAGTATTTATCATATCTACACAATAAAAATCTTAAGTGTACTTTATTTTGGTGATCCTAAGTATTTTGTTTGGTTAACGTCCTTTCCTCCCTCTATTAGGGCCGGTATTGGGCCGTGATGGTGGTGCCATGAAGCAAATGCTGCTGCCCTTCTGGCTCGGCCTCGGGGGCACTCTGGGGTCAGGAAGACAGCCGTTTCCCTGGATCCACGTCTCGGACCTGGCTGGAATCATCGCCCACGCTCTGGAGACCCCTGCTGACACTCCCTCCTCTTCACCACAAGTGTTCAATGGAGTCGCGCCTGCACTGAACACCAACTACGAGTTTACTAAAGAACTGGGCCGGGTCCTGAGGAGGCCCACCATTTTTCCTGTGCCCGGCTTTGTCCTTAACACCTTAATGGGCTCTGAGAGGGCCGCGATCCTCACTCAGGGCCAGAAAGTCATACCAAAGAGAACTCAGGGGGCCGGATTTCAGTACAAGTACCCTGACCTGACCTCAGCCCTGAAAGAGATTGTTGGGAGTTAAAAGATGTTTAAAGCAAGGACTCTTGGAAAGTGTTTTTCAGATCATATAAGACCAGTTCAGGCTTTCAAAAACTGAGTTTGTTTGTACATCACATTAAAATATATGAGAACTTGAAACATAAAGACAGGTGTGCATATATTAAGATGCACTGTGATCTGACTGTTAAAGCTGGATTGCTCAACATTTTGAGTTGGTAGGGAGGACACCGAAGGACTACACAGCATGACGAAATTGCTTATGCCAATCATAATTTCCAAGTCCTCATAACGATAGTCCACTTCTCTCGCTGTATGGAAGACCACAGACGTGTATTTTGTCCTGTTCAGCCGCATTTGCGCTTTCCTTTCACATAAAGGATGGCAGGCGTGAACAGCAGTTTGGATAATCTGGAGAAGTGGGGCTGCAAAGCTTATTTACATAATCGA